AGAGTTAGTTGGATAAAGTTAAGTTCTGTAAAAAAAACTCACACAAAATTATACCGAGTTCTGTAAATTCTGTTAATGTAAGATAATTATTTCCTTTTGAAAGAACAGAATCTTCTTTGGGAGGTGGGGGAAACATTTAACTGAGAAACTATACATCTCTATGTCAAGTGTTTGGTTTGGTGTTTTGGTTGGTTTTGTTTCCTTTGGTTTTGTTTTCACCCTTGGAGCATGTGTGAGATTCTCCCTTTCTGTTGTTGCTTCCTGCTGTGTAGGAACCATGAATTGCTTCTCAGTTAAGCCAGATTTTAAAGGGCTTCAGAATCTTATCTTTTGTTTTTGAGGAGGCAGGGCTGGAGCCAAGAAGGCTTTCTTCTACAGAAGGTCAGAAGGGTATATTGGGTCCTTGTAGCCCATGATGTCTAGCACTGTCAGGAGCAGGTGTGTAAGCTAAGGGAGTGAAATGCAGGTATGTTTAGTGATGTATAGACTCAGTGACTCATTTGGGCCTATTGTTTTTACAGCATATTTCAGGATATCTGTATATTCCAGACTAAACCACTGAAAGATAGATATTCAGGATATATAAATGTTTGGATTATATAAACAGAAACTAACCAAAGCAAGTTAAACAAATCTTTCTCTGCCTGGGTTGAAATGGTAGCCCAAATTAGTTGTCTCGATTCATGGGAACTAGTGGCATTTGGTGAGTGAATTGCTAAGTACTTATTTTGCAAAGATGATTTTGGGATTTGCAGGCAATTTAGGCAAATGGTTTTAAAATCTGGATTTACTACATTTAATCTGAGTGCTTTGTACATTGCTTTGTACAAGTATACAATGTTAATTCCTTTCAAAGTATACAATGCTATTTCCTTTTTATCTGCAACAGGTGTGTAATAGTATAATGTGTCATAGTAATGCAAAAACCTCTCAGCTGTTTCCCAGCGGTTTTATTGTCTAATTTTTATATTTTGATTTTTAGCAATGATGCCAGCTTCATGTTTGTGCTGATTTTCTTCATAATCTGTGTGTTGGAGAAACTGGTAGACATTAAGAACTAGGCAGCTCAGATACCCTATCGTAGACACCATATGCATGCCAAGGACAGAGCATTGTGTCTCCTGGCCATACTTGTCCTCTGTTGCAAGGTATGAAAAAGATAAAATGCAAGACAATATTTTTGGCTCTTACAGCAGAAGACCTGATTTTAAATCTTTGTGTCAGATGTGTATGTTTTTAAACTGTTACAACAGTGTTTTTAACCTTGCTGCAAGACACAGCCAACAGGTCAAGGTGTTACCTGCTGAGAAAGGTAAGAATGCCTCTTTGTTCACAAAGTTGCCATCCAAATCAAGGAAATGGTCTGGGTTAAACTTCCAAGGGGTTGCCCAGTGCTCAGAGTCATACACCACAGAGTGCAGATTTGGCAATACAAGTGTGCCCTGCAAGAAGCAGCGGAGATTTTATTTTCCATGTATGTTTGAAATTGATTTTGGATTTCCCTTCTATTAGACACTCTGGCATCCTGTGCCTGTAGCCCCATGTTTAGATTCAGCTGGGTCTTTTACAGTGCACATCCAGACATAACAAACCCTTGTTTGTCATAACCTATTGTATGTTTGCCTTTGTCTAAGTTATCTTTTGTCAGGACTACTGAAGTGTCTTCATGTCTAAGCTAGTGTGGAGCTTGGATTGCTTTACATGCTTGCCAGGCTAATCATAACACCTTTCTGTTTGGTTTTTATACTCTTCACTCTTCATGCCTATGACACGTTGCCATGTTCTCTTTCTGCAAAGCTAGGAACTGCAGAAGCTAATGTCATATGAATTCTAAATATTAATAGCTCAAAGCTTTAAGAAACACGGAGATACACTCTGTACCTTTTTAATGTGAAAACCCAGCAAAGTTGTACTTCTCACACACTGTCGAGGGACCCCAACAGAAGTAACATTGCTGTACCGCAAAGCCTCGTGGATCACCGCGTTTGTGTATGGCAGCTTTTTGCGGTCCTCGTAGCTGATAAGGTGGGAAGGTTCCAGAACAGCCTCTATCTCTCTTTGAACCTTTTCTGAAGAGAAATGAAAATATTTGAACTCTCTTTTTTTTTTTCTTGCAGATTTTTGTATGAGAATATCCAGGACTGGGGAAATAAAAGAAACGATGTTGCTATGAAATGCATTGGTGTGTGGTTTGGCTGCTGTGTTGGTTTCAGTTGATCAAGGAAGTGCATATCCCCAAAGCACAGGATGATGTGTCATTTAAGACGCATCCTAGTCGGTGATGAGGATAATACAGTTCTATGTTTCAATAAAAAAAGTATTAAAATTTGAAACTACAGGTTTACACATCAGGTATCTTCTAAAAACCTTTCCACTTTAAGGTTTGGAGGTTAAGTTGCATATGAAATGTCAAACTTGTTACTTCGTGTTGCTAATCCTTTTTAGTGAAATAAAACTGTAGCTACTACTAATTTCTGCTAATGTTTCTGGTGAACTGGAGGGGAAAGCTCTTGTTTGTTTCTTATATTAACCTTCCATTTTTTAGAACTCAGTTGTTGATGTACCACCATTTATGTGCATAGTCAAGGGTTATTTTGATGTGTTGCAAATGACTGAGCTAATACTTACCCTAATAATGTTCATTATGGTGTTGGATGCAGTTCTCTCTGATAATGCTTTTGCTCACCTTGTACTTCTGGGTATTGTACCATATAGAGCAGTGCCCAGAGAAGGGTGGTGCTGGTTGTTTCTGTCCCTCCCAGCAAAAGATCAACCACAGTCTGGACCATATTGTCATTATTGAAAGTAGAAGTAGGGTCATCTTTGGTCTGTAGGGTATGTTCACAAGGAGACTATGAAGTGGATAATGTCAGAGATTTCATCAGTCACATAGAAATTGTCATTAGTGAATACAGTGAGCAGCCTACCAAAACAAACACCTTCGGTGCTGCACAAAAAGAGCATCCATGTAAAAATTCCGTGGCAGTTACTGGAGCAGCAAGTATTTGTAGTAGGCATTGAGGCCAAGGAGGGGAGAGTGTGACAAACGGATACTTACTTTTGTTATTTGATCTAGGTAGAAGTCAATGAGATCCTGAGGATCACCTGTGTTCTGTCTCTCATGAGCCTGGACCTCCTTCATGACTAAACTGTGCATGAAGTCGTTGTATGCAAACACTTTCTGATGAGGCCCTGGGAGATGGTGCATAAGCCATGGGAAGGCATCATACAGCTGTGGGTTTAAACAGAAAGGAAGGAATGTGAGTTCTTTTAACCTGAGATCCCAACTCTGATTTCCTGATGACTCTGTGAAGTCACTGCAACACATGGGCTCTGAATCAGGATGAGCCGCAACAGGCACAAGTCAGGGAGAGATTAAATTCTGGAAATGTGATCACATTTTTCTTTGTGAACGAGTGCCTAATAATGCAACAGAGGTTCTGAAAATGAGTGAATTGGGGTAATTTGGGGATGAATCTGGCTCACAAGCAGATTTTCTCAACCTTGGTTTTTTACTGTATTTTTTTAAAGCGTCAAAAAGTGCCTTATTTATTTATTAAAAATATTTAACGCTTTTTTTTGAAACATAGAACTGTATTACTCTCCTCACCAAGTAGGATGTGTCTTAAATGAGACATCATCCTGAGCTTTGGGGATATGCACTTCCTTGGTCAACTGGCATTTTTAAAGATATCTCTCCATGGAGAACACAATAATGTTACAGATTGTGAGTGTGCCAAGATCTGCACAACATAGGCAACAGATAGGCTTCTAAGAACCTAAAATATTCTTCTTGATGTGATGAAATTGTAATCTGTATCTTAAAAGGACCTCAGAATAACTCAGATAAGAATTTCCAAGACATCTACTCAAAAGAACAGAGCTTTGAAGGCCTAATTCTTACTGATTGCACTTGTGTAGTCACAAGACTAAATGAAAATTAAATTTGAGAAGTTGTTTTCATTTTAAGGATTAAAAATGATATTGTACACAGTACTCTGCAAATGATTGGAGATCTGTGAAACATAGTGACCTAGAATTTAAATTTTACGCCACGTGATTTATGGACATAAGGAAGGATTATAAGGCAGCAATGACATATACAAGATATGTATTACTTTATTACTTCACAAAGGCTTACAGAACAATGGTATGGAAAAGTTTTGGAATAATCATCACTGACTTCTAATTTGTTTTGACTTATGAAGTGCAAATGAGCCTTAAGGAATAAGAACAAGAAACTTAGATTCTTACCCTGCCCCAGATAGTAGCTTGAAAGTAGATCACAAAATAAATAGCTTTGATAAGTTTGCTGAAAGATTCATCCTCACTGGAGAAGCGATGACCAAAAACAACAGCAGAAATGATGTTTGCAACAGCATGAACGATGGGAGTGTGAGGGTCAAAAGGTTTGCCTGTAATACAGGAGCTACTGTGAGTACTTCTGAATTGGCAACGGTGAGAAAAATGAGGAAGACTTTTTTTCTAATGGTAAAAAATAATAGGGGATCAGATTACTTTAGATAAATGTCACACAGGTGAACCCTAGTTTAATACATATTAACTGCAGGAATTGTAAGTGCAGAGAATCTCAATTTTTAATCTGCTCTTTACTCTTGTAAAATACAGTGATTATCAGTTTTGAGAAGAAAAACATTAGATCTCTTTTCCCTTCTTTGACTTGTGTGGAAATACAAGCAAAGTATTAGAACATATGCCTTCGAATCTGGAGGCAGATATTTAAGTTTGGCAATTAAAAAACAAAACAAATAACCCCCCTCAAAAATCCCAGGAAAAAATGATGTAGTTTTATTTTCTTAGCCATGTTGAAATGACTTGTCTCCTTTTGGTTTTCAAGTACAACTGAACAATTCAGCAGTCTACTTTTTTCCCCACAGACTGAAAAGACAACACCCACATAATGGGATGGAAAACAGCTCCCATTAAAAAGGATTAAATCCAGAAAAAAAATAAAGTATACATTTCAATGGCAAGGAAAATCTTTGCATTATAATCATATGGAAAACACATCCTTGACTTCAGTCCAGTGCTCTTGGTTATTCTTGAGGGAGTAAATGCATTTATTGAGTTTGAAATCGAGGAAGAATTACATGGAAGACAAAGATTTGGGCTGTACAGGGACTTGATGTTTTTTTTAATCTCCTGCATTTTAAAGATGTGTGAATGTGTTGTCCTCACAAGAGAGATGAGCCTGGTGCAGGGACAGTTGGAGAGACCTCAGGCAACCTCTCTGTGTTTTCACATCAGTATGGAACACGATGTGGGTGAGGAATTTGGCTGCTCAGAATATTTATATTTAATTGATTTATTTTGGCATCTTGCTAAAATTCTACTGGTTTTTATTTCATCCAGACCTTTAAAAGCAGTTTTGTTGGACAACAGAATGATACATTCCTTGTGTTGGGGTTCCTTCTTTGCCAAATCCTACAGGCCTGCTGTCCTAGGATGACTCAGAGCAGTCACACACTGTGTCTTTTATGGAGAAGAACATAGGGTTTGTCTATACTCCTTGAATGTAAGAATCCTTACCAGCTGTCCCCAAGACTGTGTTGATAATAAACATTTTTTAAGTATCCTTATTTCAGAAAACAATTTTATGTTGCCCACTGTGCAGACAAAACATTTTTTTTTAAGAATGCAGTTAAGAAGCCAATTAAGTCCTACTAATATGAAAAATATCTATATTACTTGTAAAAATGTATTGTGGAAATTTTACTCTGCCTCCCCCCCCAGTATTTCAGAAAAACTTCTGTGCTGTTCTTCTAGTGAATTTACCTTTTGTGTTTGCAAAGGTGTCCACAAGCTGACAGGCCTCTGTTTGAATTCGATGCTCCAAATTGTTCTTTCCCAGTGCCAGGCTCCTTATAATTGTCATGCCAAAGCGTCTCTGTTGCTTCCAGGTGTGCCCGTTTGTCAGGAAAATACCTGGAGAACACAAACATTTATTTCATTGCTGGGAAGGGAAATCCTTTCACTGCAGGAGGCAAAATATGACTCAAACGAGGTTATGTTTCTTTAACAAGATACCATGATTTTAGATTCTGAGTTTTGGTCTCAAGCTGAGGATTTTATGACTCCCACCTATATAGCTGCTCATAAATGTGACCTTGGAAACTGAGTGGTTTTGGTAAGGACAGAACAGTTTTGTCTATAGAATTCAGGCTTCTGTTTAAGAAGTGATACAACTGAAGGGCAACTTCTCCAGGTAAATATTTCTTTGGACTTACTGGGAAGGAAGAAAAGTCAGTGGTATGTGTTATCAGAGGAGAAATTTTGAGGTTTTTTTCCTAACATGCTGAGCTTTGCGTGGAACCTTCTCACTATGAGACTCTAGCAGTAACTGATGTGTGTGTACAGGAAAACATCTTTCTTCTTTACAACTTGCTTCTATTTCAGTGTTGTCTAACTCACACCTTGTACCTTTCTCGCCCATCATATCCCTGTAGAAAGGAGTGAGAGGTCTTCCAGAAACTTCCTCCGAGTGGGTGACGATGCCATCTTTGACTGCTTTGTATCCATTCAGGACAACCATAGGTGTCTGTCCCATCCACAGCGTGTAGATATTTCCATAGATGTTGGTTAACTGGAGAATTTATAACATGAAATTAGTAACTATAACCCAGGCAAGCCATACACTTAAATACTGATTGATTTAAGAGTTTTCTGTAGGTGTAACTAAACCTGTTTGCCAACATCTAATGGAATTGCAGGTTTTGGAAATATTTATCCTTCTGTTACTAAAGTGCTTTGGGAACAGAGGCCAATGTGCTTTATGGAATAGGTACTAAGGACATCGCTCAGAAGAAGACCTCAGATAATTTCACAGAAAGAGGAACAGCAGGTTTGCTCTGTCAGCTCTGAATCAAAGAACAAACAAATACAGGCAAAATCCCAGAGGTTTTCTGTTTTGTTTCATTAATGAACAAAAATTATGGCATTTTCTTGCCTCTTACTTCCAAAGAAAGCAAAACAAAAGTGGTTTTTTCCTCCTTTTCTATAGTTTCCACATGATTTTTCTTAGTTTTTCCTATTGTCTTTCCTCAAATCATGCTTGTATTTTCCCTTGAAATAGTTTGAAGCAAGTTCCTTACTTTCTAAAAGTAGTTTTAATTGGTTTATAAAGCAATTATGCTGTGAGCATAACAGCAAACAGATTTCCCTGCTTAGTTTTAGTAATAATCTGTTTGCTGCAGACAAGAAATCTTTTTGCTGTATAAATAAGGAAAAAAAGAGTCTGTTCAGAGTATGTGCTTGGTCTTCTAACGGAGATGGGATCACTCATGGCCTGGAGATGTTCCAGTGACACTGGTGTCAGGCAAGGGAAGATCTATGAGAGGTGTCTTACAGGGCTGGATATCCACACAGAAACAGGATGAAACTGTCAATGGAAAAGCATTCTATGACACTGCTTGTGACAATGTAGCCAAAAGAGAGAGAAAATAACAAGGAGTAAAGCAATTAGAGTGTTTATTACTCAGAAATATTTTTAATAATGCAGGGTCCTCAGAGTCTTTGAAATTGGCCAAAAATGAAGTTTGAGGCTTAAAAAAATAGCAGTTTAGCCTGTACCCATGCAGTGCACAGTATAAGTTAAAATAGGTTTCGACTGTTTTTCAATCATAGAGACAAATAAATACCTTAGTGAGAGTTTCCCGACGAAGCCTGAAGTCCAGCAGCCACAGGTTGCCGATGATGGGAAGGGGAACTGGTCCTGGAGGAAGCTGAGTACACATCCATTGCAGCCTTAGGAACTGCAGAATCAGGAGACACACTACCAGAGCTATCAGAATCTCTGCAATCCCCAACATCTTAAAAAAACGTAACTTCTCACTGGTTATTTTTTTTTGCTTTTGCATATGACTTGTTTGGAGAATTTGGATTTATGTAGATGAGTTTGATTCTACTGAATCCAAACTCATTCTAAGAATGCCATCCCTCTCTCTCTCTGCTAATCTGCAGTTTCCCCAAGCTGAAACCCTTAGAAAGCTGAAATATGTGATCCTTTGTGGCTAGCCAAGCCACACCCCCTCTTTTTTATGATCTGTAGTCATGATCTGTCTCTTTCCACTAAGAATTTTGGTTCCTTCTTAAGTCTTGATCCTGGGACTAAATGCTACTTACCCAACAGTTGCCCAAGGTTATCAAGTCTCTTGCACAAAGCAAACACCTCAGGCAGTGTTCTAAGTGCCTTACTTATTGCCATTCTGAAATGCTGCAACTATTATGTCATTTCTTTTATAGAAGAAACATCTACATAAAACATGACCATTAGGATATTGCCCCTGAGGTGAAAAAGAATTGAATTCATGCAGCATAAAGCTAAATGTATGTCTTCAATAAGAAAATGAAGGGGTAATTTATTAATTAGGAGAGTATCTACTTTCCCCTTTTGTTGTATCCTATTTCTATTATGTAGAAAACAAATGAGAGATTATTTTACTGTCCAGGAGATTGTATGGAGTTTTGTAAATTTTACTTTTTAATTTTATTTTATGCTTTTCTAAGATTAAAAATCTTCTCGTGCAAGTTTTGGAGGTGAAATGATGCACAGGTTCTATTGTATCTGTGGAAAAGAACAAATAAACTGAAGAAAGAGGCAAAACTTAACCTTCACTGATTTGTGGACCCCATAATCTGGGGTATCTTCATACTCCCTGATACCTTACATTGGATTTTTCAATGCTTTGTTCAAGAACTCAGCTATGATGTATCTTCAAGCCTGTATAGATTAAGGGAATCCATACAATCACACGTGTTGCCTGTTTCAAAATTTTATCCTAATTTCTCTGAGAATTCTTGCTGAATTTTCCAGTCTGGAGTTTGCAGCTCAAAAAGCTCCAGCAAAATCAAGGTTATTGATTGGACTCGATGCACATTATGATCATGAAATATAAAGGTTTAATGCCCTCCACGGGCTTCTTAAGAACTCCCTTTAGCTTCAGGAAACTGAGAGTTACAGCTGTGGACACTCGTTGCATTTAGTTTTCTATTAAGTTCCATTTTTCGAGGGGAGGAGGAGTGTTAGCAAAAGAAAATGTGTTAAATACAATTTTGCATCATCATTCGGTCTTGAAAAATGCTTAGATGAGAATTTGGTTTTTTTTCTTTTTTTTCTAGAGGACTGCAATAATTTCAGACTCAAACAGGAAGAGCAGGGACAATTTCAGGGGGCTGCAGAGCAGCAGGAACATTGCAGCATTTCTTGACTTGCTTCTCTGAGCAGCCACCTCTTGATTTCTCTGTGCAGTTTCACACAACTCTTCTGCTTTAGTGGGTGGCACATGCAGATGCTTTTCCAGAAAGCGTGGAAGTATAGCAGCCATCAGAGGGTAAGGAGCATGTCTCTGTGCCTTTTCTGTTGATTTTCTTTAGATTTTTTGGCAGAGAAGTGGAAACAGAAAACTTTGATAGGCATCATTTTCAGCAGTATGGTTCTATGAATCTTACACTTGAAGAGTTAAAAAGACAAAAAACTGAGAGAAGCAATTCAAAATTCAATAACTTTTATGGTTTTATCAACCAATTCTGACAGTTCCATATGTTTACTGAAAATTGCAGTGTTACTGAGTTATGCTATTGAGCAGTCATTTATCCGCCCTTTCTTTCAGACTGTGGTGCTGTCTGAGACTTTAAATGAGTTACCTGATGAAATTATCTAATTAACTTCGCTTGCTCTTTGTATACATCAGAACTTCATTTCTTCATATGTTTTTTTTTCTCTCTGTTCCATCCAGCCAGTCCTGTCTGGTTAAAAGGAAATGAGTACTGTTCTATTTCTTATTTGTGCACAGAATCACTTGTTAAGTTTACAAGTTTTGCAATAGTGAAAGACCCCTGAGAGCTGTTGAGCACACATGCCATCAGTGAGGGTATGATTTATACACTTCAGATTACCAGAAGTAAGATGAGTTAAGCCTTGAAGTTACCTATTAATAAGGGTGATTATGATGAAACTTCAAAAAGAAAACAAAAAAGGGAAAAAGAAGCACTTAAGGTGAGAGACATGTAGGTCCTGCTGAGTAGGGCTGGGCCCAACAAGAGGCTTAGCCTGAGCCTGACCTTTTGGGCATGATGGGTAGTGTGTTTTCCTGCTGCTAGGTGAGAGCTGTGGGCACGCTGAAGTACAGTGAGGCAGTTATGTCACAAAAGCTTGGGCAGAAGTTCACAAAGATGGGAAAAGCAAGAAAGCTGTTTCTGTATTGCATATTTAAATATTTTCAGTATATATGGCAGTAGCTCTTCAAATAAATCTTGCTTGATTTCCTCTTACACAAATTCTATTGCAAGAGCTCACCAGTTAAGATGACAGATATTAAGCCTGGTTGTTTTGAACAGATGAGGAAACCTGCTTTTCTAATGGAGGTTTCAGGTCATATGAGTGGGAAGAAAATGCAGCAGCTGCAGAGGACAGGGAAAGAACAGCATCTTCAGAAAGGTGTGGAGCAAATGATGAATGTGGCATGCTGGGGGTGGAAAGTGTTCCTGACACACCTCTGCCCAGTGTGTGTGTCATCTGCTCTGCCATAAAACTAGGGCTCATTATTTGTTGCAGTGTCAGGTTCAGCATGTATTAGAACACACCGCCTGGTTCCAAGCTGTGCACATATTTCTTGGCATGGTCATGTGCTTACTGCCTGGCCTGGTGCCAAACTAAACAGAGCAGACATTGATAAGCAGATTTGGTTGGGGTATTTTTGTGGGTTTGTTTGGTTTTTGTTGTTATTCTTTCCAGTGGAGACCCTAATTTGGATTTCTCAACTTGGCTGTTCCTTCTTCCCCTGCACCCCCTGGTCTTTCAGGAGCTTCATAACAGGAGCTGTTAACTGGTCAGTGGTGTTAGAATTTCTCTGAAGGAAGAGTTACACAGACACTGTATATCCCAGCAAGCACAAACAGAGGGAGAATGTGGATTAGAGCACAGAGCTACAGTGAACATGAGACTGGGAAATGTGAGCAAACAAAGTTTCCATCCAGTGTTTCTGTTCAGTTTGAGATAAAAGAACTTTACTTGCACGCATTGTAAATAAATTAGATAGATTTTTTGCCTCCTGCTGTCATCTGTGCTGTTGGGACCTGAAGATTGATGAGCTCTTTGGGTTGCATAGACAAAGTAGTGGAATGGGACTTGGGAACTTCAAATCCCGTTCCTAGATCTGTTTGTAGATTGTCTGTGACCCTCAGGAACTTGCTTTATCTCTCTGGACCTAATCAACCCTGACATTCACTTTCAAAAGAGCTTAAGACTGACTGATGAAAGCCAAGACATAGATGGCAGGTGTGGCTGTTTCTCTTCTGTTCCTTTCTTGTATTTGCTTCCCACTCTTACGATCCAAAACCTTCATTAGAAAAGGTTTTCTGAGCTGTCTAAACATCTGCCACCTCTGCTGGTGAGCTCTTGCAATAGTATTTGCCAGATAATAATGAGCAATGTTTGCATGGAGAGATGCTGCTTATATCTAATGAAGACATTGGAACAAGGAAAATTGATTTTCCCCAAGACAGCCTGCTTGCAAAGAGCTTCTCTGTGAACACCTGCCTCTACCTGCTTGATCTCACCGTTACTTTATTTGTGTTTTGGTTCTCAATTCACAGATTGTGCACATTGACAGAGTTCATTTAAATAGTATCACTCTGCATTACATAGAACACAACATCCATCACTTTAACCCTTTCTGTTACTAACACCTAGTCATCCCAGTCATCCCAAAGTAAAACCAGTTGGTATATGTAATCTTAGAGAAATTTGCCATTTTTTTCCAACATAGGATTGTGATCGAGTTACTCATTTTCAGGCATGTGTCTGAGGGTGTAGCAGGCTGAGACAATGTGCATCACTGACATGCAGTGAGAGCAGGATAAGTAAATGTGAGAGCCCTAGCTATTTGGAAGGAATGTGACTGTTGTAAACATTCCTCATTTTGCTTTTCCATTGGTTTGTTTGTCTGTTTTGGGTTTGCCATGCAGTGCTACTTAGGTGAAAGCAATGCAGCCCTTGCACGGATGCTGTGGCACTGTATATCCTGATGGTGTGGGAGCTACGAAGGTCTGGTGTCCTTTCAGTCTCACTGGGTTTTGAAACGCTGTATAATCTTGTCAGTGCACTGCAATCAGCTGCAGGGGAACTGAAGAGAGAGAAAAATTTTGTAGGCTAAACCATCCTAAAGGTCAGTTTGATACCGAGAAGCAGACTGAAAGCAGGAATTGAACAAAGGATAACTTTACTAATAGCACTATTTCAGCTTAATGTGCAAGACAGCAAGAATTGCATAGTACAGATAAAAAGCTGCACTAATGGTATTGGTTTGGCTTGGTTGTCGAAACGATGCACCTTATCTATAAGGCAGTAGAACTAACTAGACTCAAACCTTGGCAGTGGAAGGAAAACTAAGACCATGTGGGGTGTGGAATAAAGAAACAAAATGTTCAAGATAGAGGCAAGGTCAGCAAGGCATGCAAAACTGTACAAATGGTTGCATAATAAGCGTGTCCAAAGGGTACTGAGGAAGAGGAGGCGCTTTATCTTCACGACCACCGAACGACCACCAGGACCATGGGACTGATGCCAAGAGGGAGGAGACGGAGGAGGAGCATATGATAATGACTTCCAAGAACAAATTCTAATAATAACCACCCATTCCTGGAAAGAATGAATATATATGAACATTTAATGTATAAAAACTGTGAAGTTTTTGCCCCTGGTAGCACAAGTTTGGTGGAGCGATCCCCCTTGTGCGCAGTGCTGAATAAACAAATACCTGCTACTCAGAGATACAAGTCTTTGAGTAGTTCTTTTCCAGCCTTTTCTCGG